AAATTGATGAAATCCCACATATTTTCCTCCTTGACATCATCACAAACAACCAAGAACCTTTTGCCATATACATGATTATTGAGACAATCTAGAAGCTTTAGTTGGGCTCCCCTCCTCACTTCCTGCTGAACCAAATTGTCTAAGAACATATTGAAGTACGCCCACTTTGCTAAAGGATGGTGACACAAGGACCATGCTGAATACACAAATGTGCTCATTATGGAATTGCAAATTCGCCTTATAAGAGTGGTTTTCCCAATGCCACCCATTCCCCACACTAAAAGTACTCTACGTTTTAGCTCACCATTTAACAACCAATCGTTCAATTTACTCACAGTCTCATCAATCCCCATGATATCAGATTCCCCCTGCGGAGCAGAAGCGGGCATGGATCTTTCCAATCTTTGTTCGATTCATTCGAGGGTGTGTGTTGTGTTGCTCTTTCCACTTGTACCACGGCCTCCATTCCGATATTTCCAAAACCCTCATTTTAATCTCTTGGATATCAGTTGCAAACTGATGATGAATCAAGAGCTTCTTGACAAAATTTAAGCCATGCTTTAGCCCTCTATGGTGCTGTAAAATATTCATTTGAGTTATGAACTCATCGAGGACATCATCGGCATCATGGGCCACATCTCTCACATGTCCCACCCATTTTATGAGTCCCTCATCTCTCTCTTTTCCATTATCAGTGCTCCCTAGGAATGTTTTCATTCCGTCGAGCTCGTTTCTGATCCAAACGGCATCTTAGCACATGGCAGAGAGAAGTTGCACTTCCTTAATGATAAAATAGCTCAATCTCCCCAACAAAAACATCACCACATATTCGGCCATTGGTGTCTTCCTCTCAAAGCAAAGCATTGAATTTTCGTATGTCAAACTCTTCGCGCTTTTGGCTTATAATAGAGGAGCTTTGCATTGCGATCCCTTCTTTTATAAACAAAAAAATGGAAATAAAAAAAGAAAAGAGATGGAAGGTGAGCATACTTCGATTTGTTCTTTGACAATTGGGTTCCACAATAAGTGGGGAGGGGAGCTCAAATGAAACTGAGATTGATGTTGAGATCCAACTTCTAAATTGTCTCAATAATCATGTACAAGGTCAAAGGTTTATTATTGTTTTTTATGGTGTCATGAAAAGAAATGTGTGGGATTTCATCAATTTTGCATTGCCGGAGTCTATAAATGGAAGTAGAAAAATCATAACAACGCGCGATAGAGACGTAGCTGAGATGGTGAACGCAGAGAGCACTACATTAACTCTCTTATACGAATGCAATGGAGGGTATCTTTTGATCTTTTCTACTTGAATGCATTTCCAAAAAGAATTGGAAGAAGTTGTCCTGAGGATCTTGGAGAATTGGCAGATCATCTTGTGTGCATATGTTATGTCTTCCCGCTAACTATTGTTGTTATGGGAGGCATAACGTCCACGAAGTTATCACTCGAAAATTGAGTGAACGCTCTTGCAGATGCCAAATGGGCATTCTATGAAGGTGCTGATGCGATTCACAAAGTTCTTTCATTTAGCTACAATGACCTCCCTCCACATCTCAAGGCATGCTTCTTGTATTGTAGCTCTTTTCTCAAGGATTATTTGATTATATGGGTTGCTGAAGGGTACATTGAATAGAGTAAAGCCAAGGAGCAGATAGTAAAGAAGTACTTCCATGAGCTTATTGATAAAAGCATGTTCCTCGTTAGTGATGTAGGCAAGGGTGGGGATATGTCGTCTTGCCGAGTTCATGATGTTATGTGTGAATTCATGATTCTGATCACCAAGGAAGAGTGAACGGGGGAATTTTATGGTGGGGAGGGTGACTTTAAACCCTTAGACAAAACCTGTTGCCTCTTTGTTGTTGGCAATGTTGCAAAAACTCTAAAAAATAGATATATGGTAGGAAGTTGTTCCCTCTTATTATTCCCAAACAACAATTTGAATGTATGCAATCAATGCCTATTGACTTATAACTTTTGAAAACTGAGAGTATTGTATGATAAGTCTAAGGTGGATGTTCCTATTAAATTAAGAGATGGCATGCATTTGAGACATGTAAAAATACGTAAAACATATGTTTTGGCATGATTTGTAAAAATCATTGAGAGCCTTGTGAACCTACAAACCCTTCATATCTAGAAGTGTGAAAAGCTTCCAGGAACAATGTACAAGATGTAAGAAATGCGGCATGTAATAAATGACTATCCTTGACCAAAATGCATAAGAGTCAGAAGATTTAGAAGATTGGAAAATCTACAGACCCTTGACGATATAAATGCATGTGATATGCATTTGGCTAGAGAGCAGGCTTACATGACAAAACTTCGCAAATTAAAAGTTACATGGAACATAGAGTACAACTCCGAGGATTTCTCTGAACTTCTTCTCAAATCCATAAACCAAATACTTAGACCGACATCTTTAACTATTCGGATTCCACCACAGCAAATAGATGGACCTGCTATCTTCTTTGACTCGGATCGTCTGGAGCTTACACTGTATCTGGTATCACTGCGATTAATATGTGGTTTAAAAGAATACTCAATGCCCTTCATCGGAGGAGTGGTTTTTTTTAGAATAGACTAACCAATTTAACCTTGAGTACACTGAATTAAGTACAAACCCACTCGTTTTTTTTTTTTTTTTTTTTTGAGATAAAGTTAATAAAGTACATACCCACTTGTTCACCTCCAATTCTTTCATAATCTATCATATCTTAAACTAGTCAGGGTATACACAAGTCACGAAATGGGAGGAGGAATTGGTTCAAGTTCATTTCCCTCACTCAAAACTTTAATTATCTGAGTTAAAAAATCGAGAGAATTGGAGTGATATAGAGATGCGAGGATGAAGTCCCAAGCTACGCCCTCTGGTCCCGAGTTCAATATTACATTCATAACTTTATTGAAATGTCTACTAATGATTTCTCCCGATTGTTGAGAGCGGAGTTGTGCCATTCCATTGGTTTGACTGAGTTACAGTATTTAAGAAAATTGCCACTTGTTCTTCTACAACAATATTCAAGGTATTACTTAGCAAGGATCTGTCTCGAAGCATTCCATAAAACCTTAAAAAAGTGTTGACATCCATACGTATAAGGGCAAAACAACTACGTACATGAGATTCATTTTAGTAATCAATAAATGCAGCCCAATAAGAATTGAAGTGTGTATTCGCATCCTACAAATGGATGGTCTACAAATTATTATGTAGTAGATTGCAACAATAATTTGGCGGGCTTGTTCTGGGTCCATATTAATACATTAGCATTCACAAAATCTATACGTCATAAATATCTCATAATCAAACCATTGCATTTTATAAATAGATAGAAAATAATGGAGAAGTATGAGCAATCTGAACCATACATCTACATACTACTTATCTTCATCATCATAGGAAACATTCAAAGTAAATTTATATTAATGACTAATAAACCAACAAAAAAACATATCCATAAAATATCCATGCAATATATTGTCCTGAACTAACACCCAATATTAAACAAAACATGTCCCCATGATATGCCAACAAAATATATGTCCATATAAAAACATTAGCAAAAACGTTACCAAGCAAAAACATTTAAAGAAACCCAAATCTTGGACAAAACATGCCTATGTTAAAGACAAAGTGCAGGTCCCTGCAGTATTCCTTAGGAATAGTTAAAAACATACTTGTTGCATCATGATTCATAAATAACTTTAAGGCCTTAAAAATAACTTCGAGGCCCTAAAAATAATAAGTTTAGTTAAGTCTTTTTTATGTAATTCCACCACATATTCAATGCATTTAGAAAAAATGGTTTGAAAAGGGTTAGGGGTAGAAGCGAATGCAGAGGCAAGGGTAGGGGTAGAGGTAGCCATTTTTCCACGGCAGCAATTATTTGGGTTAGAGCATCATATGTATCATCTTTGGAAACTTGCTGCCTACGAGGCGGCCATGATCCCATAGAACTTCTGTGCCTCTTTTTGGCACTTTCACTCGAAATAGAAGATGCAAACACCTCAGGCACATCTTCCATTGGGTCAAAAAATAGCATATTTATATCACTAGATAAGCCACCCGTGCCACTCGTCACTTCATTTCGAGCTATCTCCAATGATGTGTTTTTATAGTTAAGAATATGTTGACCAATGCGACACTACATTGGCCATCTACAGTCGAGTCACCAAAACATAACTCTAGACCGTTAAATCTAATAATGGAACCCCTTCTAAGTTTTGATGCCTAAGAGAAAAAATAACTCTAGATCGTTAAATCTAATAATGGAACCTCTTCTAAGTTTTGATTCCCAAGAGTTGCTCTGCACATTAAATTCATCAACATTTGTCGCATAAGGTTTAAAATAGGAAGACATGTAAAAACATGGTTCATTTATAGGTAAATAAGTGCAGGACTCACCACAATGAAAGGGTCCCAAACAGCTTCATAGGTTATCACCATCTTTTTAGCATCATTTTACCAAGAGCCCAATTTGGCGAGCAATTGTTTCACATGGTTGTAGTCAGCCTTTAAGGATCTTATTGTACTTTTTAGTTTATCCTTTCCACATTCTTCCCCGTATTTGGCTTTCATTTCCCTTATCGTGTTTCTCCAAGCTATTGTGGTGAAAGTACCTCCCACCTTTCACTTTGCCTTGACATCCTCGACATGAGATCAAGGAAATAGTTATCTTGACTTAGAGTCAATATAAAGTTCTTTCTTTTCTTGTCAAATTGTTCCTTAGAATTTGCCTTTTGGGAATCCATACCTAAATGGAGAACATACCCATAATCCATCCAAATACTCCTATGAACGTAGCCAAATACACATTGCCTATATTTGATCCAACCTTCTATCAAACAAAAATTAAGCAAATCCATTTTGGGGCCAACATTCAATCATTCCATCAAACAATAAATTAATTGTGACTGTGTAGAGGAGGTAAGGGATAACATGAATCCATCATGTTAATGAAACCATCACCGTGATTATACAAACATTAGTGGATAAGATCAATCCATCAACTTGCCCTTTGATAGGCACATCATTTGTTTCCATATAATGAAGTCAAACAAAAAACAGAATTCCATAAAACATCATATTTTCTCAATAAAGAGAGAAAACTATCTTGCCATGGCCAAATAATCTGTGTGTTCCAAGTATTTGTACAAATTGAAGGCAACACGGCCATGCGTTCAAACCTTAGACATAGTTAATCATCTCAAATTTATTTGTCAAAACTCCAAACCAAAACTAGGATATTCAATTTGAAACTGTGGTAAAACAAGCAATCAAAATGTTTTATGCAAACCAAGGCGAAAACAAGAGCTTGGCTAATAATTAAGACGAACCATCTTAAACCATAAAAGGTACCCCAAGAATTAAATTTAAGAAGGTTAACTAAGGCATGACAAATATTCCAGACTATTGCCATTCCACTCTCCCTTCTAGAAATATTTCTTGTGAAAGAAACAAAGAAAAGAGGAATGTGAGTACTGCAATCTTCTAAGAAGTATAACTTGTATGGATGAATATCAACTGAAAACCACTGATCAAACACAAATGGTGAAAATGGGCAACAATCAACTCAGAATCTGATCTGCAAAAAAGTGACACATATACATCTAATCACACAGCTCAAATAAAAGGTAAAGGGAAAATCTCCAATACAAACATACATTCAACTTTCACAGTGTATGAGAATTCAAACATTCAACTTTCAAAACATATATGAATTCAAACATTCAACTTGCACAAGTAACCCAATTATCAAAGGAAAAAGTTTATATAGAGCAGAGGCTCTAAACAATCAAATTAGAGCCTACCTCAAAAATTTCCCTAGAAGAGGTAGTTTTGATTTCCAAATATCCTCAAATTGATCATCTCGACATCAAGATGCATGGAAATGAGACAAAAAATGGACTTTAAGTTTTTGAAATAGTGCATCTTATAAGGCATTTTTGGACCGTTAATTTTCAAGATTTCATAGATACATAGTTTTTGAAGCTTTAAATTTTATAATTAAAGATGAAAACATATTATAAAGCTATCACAAAGATTTCCTATATTGAAAATGTGAAAAATATAGAAACCTACACTGATGTTTAGGAACAATATTTTCCTTCCTCTTATGTGTACCCATATCAGGAAGTTGGTTCATTACATATGTTAGTTTCTTTAGTAGTACACAACTTTGTAACCCTATAAATTGGGGCTCTTGTTCACATCTTTGATAAGCTCAATAATACATCTTCATGGGGGCTTAGGGCCCAATCATACAGAAACACAGTTTCTTCACATGGTATCAGAGCGAGGTTCTCTGTGATTTTGTTTGGGCCTTCTGTCCAGGCCTTCGGTACAACTCTTTCTCCACTCGGTATTTATATCTAATCTCTTTTTGTCTCTCTGATCTATCTCTAACGATCTCTCTCAGACTTCTTATCTCTTCTCTCTCTACTGATTTATCTCTCACGATCTCTCTCTTTCTTCCTTCTCTTCTTAAAACCTTCTCTCTCCTCTCTCTGTCTCTTTCTCTCTCTATATCTCTGCTATAACCAATTTCCCTAGATGACCTTTCCCTAGATGACCTTTCTCTATACCCCGAAGCCAAAACACCCATTTCTCTTTCTTGACCCTGAAACCCCAAACTGAAGCTTCCCCCTCTCTACTATTTCGGAAAATCCACATTCTCAAATCGCCTCCTCACTTTCTCTCTCTAAGCGACCTGCAGAGACCAATTCTCTGCTCTGCTCTCCTTATTTCTCTCTCTATTGATTGAAAACATCAATAATACATCTTCATGGGGGCTTAAGGCCCAATTATATAGAAATACAATTTCTTCACATGATTCCCTCTCTTTCCATATTCTCGCCTACTTTCCATATCCCTCGCCTAGAGCCACGCCATTGCAAAGGTTTGATTCGCAATAGTTAGCCTCAGATCAAATTTGTTTGCCTCATATCTTCTTTGTTTGCCACGGATCTAAGATCACCTCAGTCACTGCTTCATTATGGTCTTGTGAGCACTTCCTCTCGTCTGGTGCATTAGTGGCCATTGCATGGTCTGGTCTCAAGCCTGACCATCCTGCTTCCTCAAAGCCCAATCCCTATCACCCTGAACACCTTCAACCCCCTTCTTGCCTTAGAGAGAGAGTCTCGTTGCTTCTCTCTGAGTAGTGGGTTCTTCTTGGATAGCATTTCCAAGGCTTCAGCCACATGGCCTCAAGAAAATTTCTCTCCTCCTTTTACTAATTCATGTTGCCACTCTGCCACTACGTGGGGTTTGGTTATTGTTACTGCTGGGTACAATGGGTTTATCCGGTCTTTCCAAAACTATGGAATTTAGCAGGTCTCATCTTGATCTCTTTCTAACAACGAGAGACTTGCAACATCTTACCGTCAACTTGGATTATCCGATCTGGAGGAGAATACTGGAAAATCTGATGTTCTCTCTTATTCTGATTACACAAGTCCCCCTGTATAAATTGCATGCTTCAAAGTTTTCATGCTATTCCCTCGTGTCTTTGGTATTGTGTGCTTTCAATCTTGAACCCCCATTTGTTTTGAAAGGCTTTTCCTCGCTCAAGTTTCTCTCTCTACATGTTTTTCACTTTGAATAGGTAAAGCTCACGTCTTCAGGAGAGTGACAAAAGCCTTGACTGTAAACTCTCCTTTGAAAAACGTCCTCGAAAAACAGCCTTTAATACTCGCTTTGTCTCCGTAATCTCTAGACCCCAATTTGAAGTTCCTCCTCTAGATCGGAAACCCCATCTGAAACTCTCTTTGACATCAATACTCTAAAATTAACCCTCCAAAACCCTTCTGAAAAACCGGTACAAAAACAAAAAAAACCCTCTTAAAATTTGTTGTATGTTTGAGTTTGCTTGTTCTATTACTCGTTCATGTCTGTTTTGGTCTGCGAGCTGCTGAATCCATCTCAGATCCACACCGAGTTATGTTGGCTCTTCCATATGCCATTATGTTTTCTCTGTTGTCTCAACGACTTATTTGTGTCTCTGGTGAATATCTGAAGTTTTTGTTCATTGATGAACTCCGATTTGCCGCTCTGTTCTTACCTTCTATTTTTTTTTAAGCTTGTCGATCCACCACTGCTCCGTCGCTGACTTTTGTACTTGTTGATCAAGCATCTAAAAACGGCCAATCTGTACCATATGCAAAACAGCCACCGAGTCGTGTTTCAACTCTCAAATTTGTCTCTCTGTTGAGTCATGTTTCGACTCTCTGATCTCTCTCTCTACTGAATCGTGTTTCAACTTTCTGATTTGTCTCTCTGTCGAGTCGTGTTTCGACTCTCTGATCAGTTTCTCTGCCGAGTCGTGTTTCGACTCTTGGATATGTTTTGGATCTTACTGTTCTCATCTCCGAATCTAAGGTCCAATTGTACTTGTTGATCCGCTGCTGATTTTTGTTAGCTCTTCCAAGTGCCTCATGTTCGATGATCAAATTTCTCGATCCTGGTTGATGATCAAGCTTTTCGTTACTCCTGTCTGATGATCGAGTTTACTCGATCATGTCGATTCCATATGCCTATCTTTAATGATTGAGTTTTTCATTACTCAATCCTATTGGATGATGGAGTTTTCTGTTCGAGAAGTCGATTTCTGATGATCACTAATTTGTAGCTGCTCAAGCTTCTTATATTCCAGTTTTGTTCTTGACGCCCGCCGTCTTCAGTTGTCCAAACTCAAGTTGTTCTCTCTTAATGCATCTTGAGTTTGATGGAGAGAGTGGAAAATATAGAAACCTGCACTGATGTTTAAGAACAATATTTTCTTTCCTCTTATGTGGTGGTTTATGACATATATTAGTTTCTTTAGTAGTACACAACTTTGTAACCCTATAAATTGGCGTTCTTGTTCACATGATAAGCTCAATAATACATCTTAATGTGGGCTTAAGGCCCAATTATATAAAAATGCAGAGTAGTACACAACTTTGTAACCCTATAAATTGGGGTTATTGTTCACATGATAAGCATCTTAATGTGGGCTTAAGGCCCAATTATACAGAAATGCAGTTTCTTCACAGAAATCACATTTCTCGATACCATTTGAAGGTGCGCTTTACTTTGGTTTGTATAGAACTTGGCTCTATATAAACCACAACCATTATCAAAATATCACAGTAAAGAATATAAAACAAAGTATACAAGAAGAATGACTTCAAGATTGAATTTTTAATTTTGTACTTCTTTTTTTCAATTTCTACTGTTAACACAATTATCAAAAATTCTGGTAAAGAAAATTTCAAAGTATAAAAAGAGAAGGATTAGGCAGGTACAGATTTTTTACTGTTTTTTATTCCAATAACTCTCTTTAAACTTTGTCCATAAGTTCTTCCTACCTAAAAATCTCTTTGCTTTGGTAATATAAATTTAACGCCAAAGTTGCCAAAAATCATTCTTGTGCCATTGTGGGGCTGAAATTCAACGTTGCATCTAAAAATGGAATATTTGGATTGAAAAATTCTATGCTTTCCTCTTTCGAGAAATACAACAATAGGGCTGTAAATTTGGGATACGATAAAAATATTTGGACTGAGAAACTGGGATAAAAAAAATTTTAGATGAAACAATGCTGTAAATTGAGGATTCAAAAATTAGGATTGAAATTTTTGGAAGAGGATGAAGAAATTGGGAGAAATTTAATCAAAACAACTTTGTTAAAAATCTGAAAATTAGGGCTTCAAAGTTTCATACATTAGGGCTCCAAAATAGGGTTTACAGAGTTATGATAAAAAACAATGTAAACAGGGCTTATGATGCATAAAAAAAATGATCATAATAGCATAAGAAAAAGATCATAATAGCATCATACATGCCTCTGTGCAATACTCTGGTTCAAGTGAAGAACGACTGAGAGAGAGAGCACCGCTAGGGTTTGAGAGCAATCACAAATCCGTCTAGATAATGCTTCTGAGCTTCCGTGAGGGCTAGAGAGATAGAAAGAGAGCAGAAAGAAAGAGCTCCGCTAGGGTTTGACAAAGATCGCGAATCCATAAGGGCTTCGAACTTCTGTGAGGGCTTCTCAGAGAGGAGAGGAGAGGAGAGGAGAGGAGAGAAGAGAGAGAGGAGTATCATTGGCGCCTCCCTAGCGTCCAGACACTCAGAGATGGGGGATGGTTTTATACTCGCTTGAGTTAGAGAGACGAACGTCACGGAAGCAACGAGGTTTATTAACTCGATTATATAATTTGGGGAGCTCCGGTTTCAAAACAAATGCACGGGGAATGTTTCTCCACATCACTAGGGTAAGTCATGTGGATTTGTTTTATTAAGAATACAAAATTTTATCATCGGATTTATTTACATATGCATTATACACGAACCATGAGTATGTTTGGTTCGCACATAAATATTCTTACAAAATAAGGGTCGTAATAGACTCAAATTCAGACCGGCTCACAACCCAACCGGTATGCTGGATACAAGTGTGGATTTGGGTCCGGCATTTGGACCCGGTGGGGTAGGATCCGGGTCGGGTATGGGTTCTAGTGGACACTACTCGGACCCGTAAGACGTGGGATAAACACAAAACCAGAGAGAGAAATATAGGGAGAAGAGTAGAGAGATGGATGCGGCACAAGCATTGGGAGTGGCTGGAGTCCAGGTACAGGTCGGATCCCGGGTACATAGTGTCGTTATGGGTACAGGTATGAGTATAAGGTTCCCTAGACCCATCAGGTCTGGGTCCGGGTCCGCTCTGGGTCCATTTCAACCTGTTTGGGTTTGGGTTTGGGTCCGGGTCCGGGTCCTGCTTATGGGCACGGGTACGAGTATAGGGTTCTCTAGACTCATCGGCTCTGCATCCAGGTCCGGCTCTAGGTCCATTTCGACATATTTGGGTTTGGGTCCAACAGGACACGACCCGTTGCCATGCGTACCGAGAAATATTTACATATGTAAATCGCAACGGGTTTGGTTTGTGCAAATGCATATGCAAATAAAATATCATGGTAAAAAACTTTGCCATGAAATGGTCTAATTCTTGATCAAACAAAACCAGACTTATTGAGATGGGAAACATTTCCCGTGCATTTGTTCTCACACTCGGATCTATTTTTCACTATAACTATTTACAATATAATATATTATTAAAATATTTTATTTATATAAATTATATATCATATTAATAATATATTATACAATATTAGATAATATATAATATTATAATATAATACATAATATATTTTACATATTTGATAAATATATAAATGTATAATATAATATAATATAGATATATATTACTCAAAGTAATGATCCTATAGGACCCTCCCCCACCCATGCGTATAGGACCCCAAATGATCACCATTAAAGTTGGTACGGATATCTAGAAAAGTTATCACATGGGTATGAGACTTGACTTTTCTATAGATCCGTGTCAAATTTAAAGGTGATCCCTTAGGGTCCTACACACATAGGTGGGATAGGGTCCTATAGGATCATTTCTCTATTACTAATATGTATTACATATATTTATTATTATATATAATATAATATATATATATATATATATATATATATATTACTACGATATTATATAAGTATTAATATATATTCTATATATAGATGATATCACACCCATCTTAATGACCAAAAATACAATTACTAAAAAAAAACTTTATATACAAAAAATAGTATATAAATGTCCAAATTTTATTGAGTATAGTGATAAATTACTCAACGTGAACACCCTACATAATATGTTAAGCCATGTTATTATTTATAAAGTAATATATAATAAGTAATATTATTATTTATTTATAAGGAGAATCTAAAGTTAGCCCACTAGATGATAGCTACAGTGTAAGCCCAACAATCTTGACCGATTTGATGGTCACGACCTCATTTCATAATATAATTTTAATATTTTTCTACAAATATAAATCATATGAAATTTGAGGTGTTCATTCTTATCATCAAGACACACCTAATAAAAATATTAAAAAATATATTTCTTAATAAATAAATTCACCAAAATACTCCTGAAATGTTTCAAGGGTATTTTGGTCGATTTAATTTTTACAAATTACTTTTTCAATATTTTTATTAGATTCTTCCAATTTTTAAAAATATATGCTCAAAATTTCAAATGATTTGGATTTATATAAAAAATTCAAATTCAAATTCAAGTACGAAATATAATCGTGACTATTGAATAGGCCAAATTCAATCTAGGTCATTGGACTTACACTATAGCTATCAGCTAGTGGGCTAACAAGATCTTTTCCCCCACACACACACACATATATGTATAAAGATTTCATGCCACCATATCATAGTAATAAAATAAACCACACTTCTAGAAAACCATGTTTTTGGAGTTTGTATGACTCTGAATATTGAATATTGCACACACACTTTGTTTATCATCATAATTTGTCTCACAAAAAGTAAATTTCAATATTCACCCTAGATATGGTCAAATTAGTGCTCTTCAATAATGAATTTTTACCATCCATTTGGTGTACTTAAAGATTTAGGCCTTAAAAAATTCAAAATCACTTTATTCTTTTTTAGCATTGTTAATCTAATGATAATAACACTATTAAAAAAAATTGGAAAGAAAATAATCCTTTTAAAGTCTATATCTAAGCATCTTTCTAAATTGGATGGCCAATATTAATTGGGTTAAAAAATTACTTCTAGGATGTTTTTTCGAATTTTAATTTTTTGTGGTCATTCTTTAGAATAAAAAGAGTGTATATTTAGAAATTGATCTCAAACGAATGGCTCTAACATGGTTTTTGAAGATTGTTTCATTATATGTCTACATGACTGGAAACAAAATTACAACTTCCATTTTTATTGTGTGCTTACTTTTATTCGGAGTCCCATATATTATTTACACGCACACCAAAAAAAAAAAAAAAGAACTTGAGCCTACAAGGTCCATGTCAAATGGAACCATACCAAACTTGCTAATTCTAGACTTAGACCTGGGCTGGATTAACCAACTAACCCAATTGGTCAAGTTAAGCCATTTATGATCCCTATTTAAAACCTATCAAGAAAGCTTTGTACTTATCCAAAAATTACTTCTTGATAAATTGGAATTTGAGAGTTTATAGAAACCAATTCTCATACACTTCGAGTATAATTGTGTCAAAACTCAAGACAATACAACTTGAATTTTAAACAATGCACTTTAAATTGAATTTATAAAATGAAATTACAGCAAGATTACTGTGATTACGGTGGACAAATGATTTCAAATTACACTAAAAAGTCGAGGATATAACTCAACTACGATCCCTTGTTCATCAATAAAACAAATTACTCAAGGAGATCACCAAACTACACATGTATGGGGTGCTTTTAAAAATTCTGCACGAGTCAAAATTACAATGCAAAATTATACATAAATGGACTTTATTAAACTTAATATAACATGATAGTTTCTAACATAACAAACACACATTTGCTCAAGTGTATAATACCAGATCCCCATGGGAAGCCGATGAGAGCTCCTGGGTGCTCGATTTACGTTCTTGGGCCTTAGCTATGTGCTATTGGGTGACGTGTGATGATGTAACTCAAAATTGGGCCAAACTCATCATCCCAAAAGTGGGAAGCTAATAATGTACTAATATACACTTAAAATATGGAATGATTTATAATAATCAAGAATAAAATGAAAAAATCGTGGGAGAAATCATGGCTATTAAAACACAAAATTAGTTCAATTGAGTTCACAAATCAAGCCACATAAATTCAGCATAAGATCCTTTTATGAAAACAACAATTTGAAGTATCAAAATGAAGATCTAATTGACTGATTTAGTCATGAAAATCTCAAAAAAGTAATAAGTAAAATCATAATTCATAGATAAAATCCCATGGAAACTAGATCACTTTGTGCATAGATGATACTTTCAACAATATTGATTAAGAGGAATCAAGGTAGATTCAAGAGATCATTGATCCAATGTTGAAGATAACTTATTGCAATTAGAAATTTACAGCAAGATGAATCAACTAGAACCAAAAGAAATTCAAGAGATCTTACTCAATTAATGAAAGCTTTAAAACTAGATCATTTATGACTTGAATTTGAGCTTTAGATCACTATTAATGGAGTCATCAAAGAGATTTAAAGGAACTTTCTCTCACATCATCTTGAATCCAACTTTAAAGAAAGAGAAAAAAAAGAGGAGAATGTTGGGGGCATGCTACTCTATGGGAGTAGAGAGATAGAGTGGCTTGCCACATAGAGAGAGAGAGAGAGAGAGAGAGAGAGAGAACTCATGTAAAGTGGTGTAAGGCTTAAGGTGTATTTATAGGTTTCTAACTATTAAGTGTATAGATACTTTTAAATTGATGAATCTTAGTCCTCTATGGTATCATCCAATGGCTATAAAAAGAGGCTTGATCCTAGCTCACCATCCACTATCATACCATCATGATGTGTAATATGGATTTAAATACATTTATCATCCTGTAATTCATTCCAATTTTCCTTGTTATTAAAATGCTCATGTTCTTTACATTTTTTAATTAAACCAAAAATCAAGTTGGATGGCATACCCTTATGGTAATTTGTCAAAATATCCTACAAAAAGTCAAATTCAAAAGTTCCCTCTATTTTATAAGTATGTCGCGCTAATAAAATTATGCCAGATAAGCTAGGCGGTTAATTGCACAATTAGCATATACTCTTAGGGTTAGGCTTATAATTACAAACCCAATCCCCTTTTAGACGCCTCACACATGTGCACAAATCTCTTATTTTTTCACATTTAACAAGTGCTCAAAACATTTTTTTGAAATCACAATAGTCCACAAATACCAAAATACAATGCCCCTCACTTAATTCAACAAAATATAAAAGACGTGGGGATCCCCAAGAGAGTCACCCCATGTGATCCTCCGTGTGGGGTGGCGTGGGACCCCTAGGCCTCCACGTGGACACTCATTAGCCATTTGGATACCCTAGGCCTCCACGTGGACACTCATTAGCCATTTGGATATCCTATATGGGTCTTGGGAGAATATCTTTAATTGTCATTTCATCCAAACAATTCTGAAAAGTATATTTTTCTTTCCAAAAAATTCATAGTAATCCATAAAAATTATTTTAATGATTTTCCATAAAATAATATTTTAGCATTGTTTAAAAATATTTATAAGTGAAATTAGG